CATCCTCACATCTCTGCTCATGGTCTTATACAGTATTTGTTCCTGTGGGACTGAGTTAGATCCAGTCTCTTCCAAGTTAGGTAGTGGTTTATCAAACCATTGTTCCTGCGTGCTGCGTAGTATTCCATCGTGTGAAATGAAATGGTATATTTTTGGTTGTTAACCAAAAAGCTGGTGGTTCAAGTCTATCCAGAGATGCCCCTGGAGTGATAACTACAGCTCTACTTCTGAAAACAATTAGCTATTGGAAACATTCGGAGCATTATTCTGCTCTGACATATAGGTTTGCCATGAGTTGGAGTCCACTTGGTGTCATGGTTTTGCTTTTGTTTAATTCCTTTTAAGGTTAAGCCACAACATTGTGCAAATCTGCTGCCAAGGGTGTCTTTAAAGTGCTAAAGAGCAAAGATGAGACTTGAAAGACTAAAACACACTAGATCAAGTTATTATATTTTCAACTGTTTCATATGCACATGAAAGCTGGATGATGAGTAAGAAAGATGAAGAACTGATACCTTTCATTTGTGAAGCTGGTGAAGAGTATCATGGGCTACTGAAAGAACAAAATAAATCCATCTTGGAAGAAGCACAGCTAAGCTGTTCCTTAGAAGCAAGAACAGTGAGACTTTTACTGATAAGCTTTGGACATATTACTAGGAAGGCCAATGCCTGGAAAAGGACACCACACTTGGAAAAGAAAAGGTCAGCAAAAGAGATGAAGATCCTCAATAAGATGGATTGACATAGTGACTAAACAACAGACTTAACCATGGCCAAGAACGTGAGGATGGTGCAGGAGGAGGGCAGGATTTCATTCTGTTTACACATGGTCTCTGTGAGTTGGAATTTACTCAGTGGTACCTAAGAACAATAGCCAAGATTCTATGTGTTTGGGGACATATTCCAAGAAATAGATGCAACCCTGGATGTATTCTCTAAGTTGTGCCAAGAAATCTGGAGGACATCTACCTGGCTGACTAACTAGAAGAGATCTGTATTTACTCTGATTAGAGAAAAAAAGGTGATCCAACAGAATGCGGAAATTATTGAACAATGATCATTAATATCACATGCAAGTAAAATATTGTTTTTGTTATGTGCTGTTGAGTCACTTGTGACTCATAGCAACCTTATGTACAATAGCTCTGAAACCTGCTCTATCCTGAGCTAACCTTATTGTCTCTGACACATTTACCCTCATTACCCCAGGCACTGAGGCAATCCATCTCATCAAGGGTCCTCCTCTTTTGCGCTGACCCTCCACCCTCCCAATAATGGTGTTTCTCTCAAGAACTGGTCCAACCTTGCAACATGTCCAATGTATGTCAGATAGAGCTTCAGAATCTTTGTCTTCAAAAAGTACCCTGGTGTCATCCTCTCCAGGACGAACCTGTTTGATCTCCCAGCAGTCAACAGTATATTCAACACTCTTCTACACACCACAACTCAAAGGCATCAATTCTCCTATTCTCCTATCCATCAATTCTCCTAGTCCAGCTTTCTGAAGCAAAGCACATCATTGTAAAGGCCATGGCCTGGATCATGTGCACTTTACTCTCCAGACTGACATCATTGCTCTTCAGTATTCTGGAGAGGTCCCTGACAGCAGATTTTGCAAATGCAGTTCTCCTTTTGATTTCCTGTCTGCTGGTACCAAGAGTGTTGACTGTGGAGCCAACAAATGGAAGCTGTTAACAATCTCGATCCCTTCTTCACTGTCTATCATAATGCTGCCAATCGGCCCAGTGGTGAGAATCTTTTGTTTTCTTGATGCTGAGCTTCAATCCATATTGATGGCTGCAGTCCTGATCTTCTGCAGTAAGTGCTTCAGGTCCTACTCAGTTTCAGCAAGCAGAGATGTGTTATCTGCATAATGTAGGTTGTTGATTCTTCCTCCAATCCTAATGCTACATTCCTCCTCATAGAGCCCAGCCTCCCAGATGATCTGTTCTGCATATAGATTGAAAATATAGGACACATCCCTGGTGTATACTCTTCCAGATTTTTTATGATTATTTCAGTAGTGGCTAGAACAGTAGTACATCAAAAGAGAACAGCGAGCGATCCAAGCCAGATTTAGAAGAGTCTGTGGCACATGGCATATTACTGCTGATATCAAATGGATGTTGGCAGAAAGCAGGAAAATATCAGATGAATGTATGTTGTGCTTTATTAACAATGCAAACGTATGTGATTTTTTTTTAATTGTGATTTACAACAAATTATGGCTGACATTGAGAAGAACGGGAGTATCCAAACATTTAATTGTGCTTATGCAAAACCTATTTCTTGATCAAGAAGCCGTTGTCCAGACATAGCAAGAGAACACTAGATGGTTCAAAATCAAGAAAGATGTGAATCAGGGATACTTATCTCCATAGCTATTCAATCTGTATGCTGAACAGATCATTTAAGAAGCTGGACTTCATGAAGAACAATGTGGCATCAGGATTGGAAATCAACAACCTGCATTAAGCAGATGACACAGTCTTGCTAGCTGAAAGTGAAGAGGCTTTGAAGCACTTGCTGCAGAAGATCAGAGACTATAGCCTTTAATATGGATTGCATCTTAACATCAAGAAAAGAAAAACCTGCACTACTGGGCTAATGGACAAAATGATTACAGATAGAGAAAGAGTAAACCTGTCAACAACCTTGGTACCAGTGGTCAAGAAATCAGAAGACGAAAATCTGTTGTCAAAGGCCTTTCCAGAGGTGCTAAAAATTAATGTCAGTTTAAAGATTGAGGTGTACCTTATTTAAGACATGATCTTTTCAATTACTTGCTATGAATCTGAAAGCGGGACATTGACTAAGGATGACAGAAGAAAAACTGATGCTTTTAAGTGTGTTGTTGGAGGCAAGAATTTAATATCCCACGGACTGCCAAGAGAACAAATAGTCTTATCAACAAATGAATAGAAAAATTATGGTACTGTCACAGAATGGACTACTACACAGCACTGAAAAACAGTGAACTCATAAAACATTACACAACATGAAGGAGCCTGCAGGATATTATGCTGAGTGAAATATCTCAGTCCCAAAGGGACAAATACTATGTAATACCACTGTTATAAAATAAGACAGACATGGGGGTTAGGGAGAAGGATGGGAAGAAAATGAAGAAAGAGTAGATAGATAATAAACAGTGAATTAGAGCAAGTGAGGGGAAGAACTGCCTAAAAGGAATGTATGATTATGCATTATATGAATGAGAACAATTTGGAATAAGAGGTGCATTGTGGGGTGGGTTGGAGGAGAGAAGAAAATGTGCAACAATGAATAAAAAATATTCTAAAAAAGTTTAAAAGGTAAAAGGAGGGGAAAGAGAGAATAAATAATTCTATACTAAAGAAATTGTAACTAGAGAGCTCCTTGTGGGCAATAAAGTGGTAAAATGGCATATCACGTACTTTGGGCATGTTGTAAGGAGGACCTATCACTAGAGAGGACATTATACTTGGGAAAGTGTAAGAGAGAAAGACCCTTTTGAAATGCATTAACCCAGTGACTAACAATCAACTTAAGTGTGTTAGAAATGGTGAGAATGTCACAGAATAAGGTGAAGTTCAGAGTCACTGCTCACAAGGCTGCTATGAGTTGTAATTGACTTAATGGCACCTAACAACAACAGTGCTGTCTAGCTAAGTTGTTATCACATCAGCTCTAACTCATAGTAACTCTATGAACAACAGATCTAAACGGTGCTCTATTCTATACAATCCTCATGATTTCTGCCATCCTCAAGCCCACTGTTATGCCAATGAATCGGTCCATCTCACTGAAGATCGTCTTTTCTTCTTCTGACTCTTGACCTTTCCCAGCATGATGTGTTTCACTAGGGACTGGGTCCTCCTGAAAATTGTGTTTCACTAGGGACTGGGTCCTCCTGAAAATGTGCCCACCGTATGTGAGAGGAAGCTTCATCATCTGTGTCTCCAAGGAGCTCTTTGGCTGCGCTTTCTCCAGGACAGATTGGTTTATTGTCTGGCAGTTCACGGGATATCCTACACTCTTCACCAACACCATAATTCAGACACTCATTCTTTGGCCTTCCTTATTCCCAGTTATAAAAGCATTGTTATTGGATGGTGAATTTAAAGCATGGCCTCAGAGAAGGGAGGGGGTGGAGTGGACCAACCTATGTGGATTGAGCCTCAGGGAACTGAGCCCCAGAACAGACTGTGGGTGACCTACAGCATCTGGCCACGTGTTGTCCTCACCTGGTGACTGCCATTCTACCAAAGATGGTCTTTTGTAACCTTTAAGGACCATCATGGGAAAGACAATGACTCTAACACTCACAGACAGCATGCACAGTTTAATCATTTGTCCAGTAGTGTTAAGGATATTGTTTGAAAGCTAAAGTCCCCAGTGACGGCAAAGAAGAGACAACAAATAAAACACTTGTTATACAAACCTGATATTAACCAGATTTCCTCCTATGCTTCCTTCCAATAGTGTAAGCAGTTTTGACAGATGGAAAGAAACAAATGCCACCCTAGTTCAGTCTAGGATTTCTTGGACTCATGGTAAACAGACTCCAGAATAAAAATCTGTGCTTTGAGCAGAGGCCTGAGTGATCCCCTTACAAGAGAGAACAAAACTCCAGGTGGTGCAGCTAACTAGGGACTTGAGCTATGTTTGTGCAATGCTGGGAATTGCTGATCAACA